GAAAATGTTCTATTTGTAAGACATCTATAATATCAATAATCATCGAAAAAGGGCTATAGGTTTCGCTGCTGGGTGATTTTCGCAGGTTTTTAGCACAATTACTTTTTCGCTCTCGTTCGATGGTAGCGTGAGCATGGCATGACTTCCGAAGGGTAAAGTTCATGTCGACAAAACGTGTGTTCATCGACAAATACTTTTTCTTTCCATTCCATTGCTCGAAAGAACACACAGATGATCACATGAGGTAGACCGTGAGCTCGCATCAGCTTTTTTTTATGCTTCTTAAAAATTTCACAACTTAGGGATTTATTAAACATTCCAATAACCGTCTTAATTGAATAATTAAATACAACGTAGTAGATAACAATGAGTGGAAAACAGTAGTCGTTGGAATCAACCCATAGAATCTACAGACAATTCCACTCGATACCCAGCCACTACAGCTGCATCTGTTCTGTACCAGCAGACTGAAAAGGCATATTTGTAGAAAAAACTGGGTTGCGCACGTAGAAAAAACTGGGTTGCGCACAAATATGCATAAAGTGGGCCAAAGTATTTTGAAGAGCGTTGCACGAGATCTGAAGCCGCGGTCATGCTTTGCTACTTCATCTGCGGTATGAGTGTGAACTAGCTGCGTGTCAATTGTGCAACTGCACGATCACGTGATCGTGCATTCGCATAATTGCATAACCATGGGCGGTATTCAATCCTTCCCCCAGGGGGATATATCCCCCTCCTCTGATTCAATCCTCTGGGGGGACAAAAAAGGGTTGCGTCATAGGACCTCGCATACCTCTGTGTTTCTACCTGCCAGACAGTTAGAGCAGCGCGACCCCTCAGGGAAAAGAGTGCATCAACAGCGGAGGGTAGTCGCGACGCAATCATTTTTGTCCCCCTCGAGAACTGAATCACAAGAGGGGGATATATTCCCCTGCGGGAAGGATTGAATACCGCCCCATAGATCTTCACTTCACATTTGAACTGCAAGTGGATTTGCAAATAACCACCACCTAAGTGAGACAGCTAATCAAAATTTAGGGTAGCAAAGTTTAAGATACTCACGTCAGATTGAGCTGTTGTACGAGGCGTGCTACTGATCTTCGCCAAATGTGGCGCAACTTCTGAGTCATCCATGATTTTGAACGGCTGGTCCTTACCAACGATAGCAATTGAAGTGTTCTGCAAACCAAAAAAGTGTAAGAAAGGACATAAACGTAGTACCTAGCATTTATGTGTAATTTAAATGAGATGTAGTGGTATACATATCACATCTCATTTAAATTACACATAAACTTCTTCTTCTACCTGATACTTTTGCGACTTTTAGACATGTTTGGTGTGACTGGGGTCTTCATCAGCCGGCCTGTCAACCTGGGCCTGACGCTGGTACTAGAACCATTTTTGCAATTTTTGCAAGGCATGGTTTTAAGCCTCGGCAGGGATCGAACTCGCGGTTTTCAAAGGTGCAGACATGAGTCACCACTCTTAACCACTAGCCATTCCTGATTCATTACACATACACTCTTTTTCTTCTTTTCCCAGGCGTTAGTCCCGCGCAGTCGCAGGGTCCGCCGCCCTTGTCAGTCGTCACCACTTACACGCCACATTACACATACACTAATATGACTGAATAATTAATTACCAATTACATATTTAACCCATTCGTGACAATGTCAGCCACCGGTGGCTGACAAAGATCTCACTCGGGACAATGGCATCCACCGTTGGCTGCCGGTTTCAAATGGAATTTGGAAAGTTTTCTTTCCTGAAAAGAATCTTCATACCCTCATTCATCTACGCCAGCCCTGGGCAGAGGAAATCTCCCTCCACTCAAATTTTATTGAAGAAAAATCTCCTGACTCTACTGCTATTGCGCAATCCCGCGCGGTCGCGAATTAAAAAATAAAATATTTTGGTCAGCGTATGATCTCAGAACCATCAAAATTGGGATTCCTCTCAGGATATGATTTTTTCTTCTGAAGATTTGTTCAAACAAAATAAAATTATTCAATGAAGAAATTACACGTGTTTTCAACAAAATTCAATTTGTATTGCTTAGCTGGCTGCAGTTTTTAGACGCAATTCGCAATTCGAAAACTTGTCCCTCTGATCAATTATCCCGACTGTGTCTGGAAACTGCAATTAACAAAGCAAAAACGAATTATCACAACGACATTGGGATATTGGTAAAGCACTGCCTCATGAGTGGCGTTTCTTGGTTTCCGTGCAGATGTGCTACCACGCTCAACCAAGAAGTCAGTGAATAGATAAGTGGACCTACAAAACAAGAAAATGTATGCACCCGGATGTGGTAACCAGGCGGCATAGGAAGTCCTGACGTTCTCACGATAGTGTTCCGCTAGTTGGAGTGCAGTAAGGCTCCAAACCTAGGAAACTCACTGCCCCATGTGGGTTCTGCGAAGGATTGAATCATCGTTCCATTTACATTTCGCAAGAGCATTTCACCCTGAACAGCTACGTCTTCTAGTCCTGTGATTTGCTATATTCTATCGAAATACCCTCACACACAAACAACCACTACCTGAGCAGGAAATGCTGAATATAGGTATTTCTTTACGTGTTTCGACATATTAGGCTCGAACATGCTTTCCGTATAAGTTTCTTTTCTAAAATGGAGTTATGAAATGAAAGAGCACAGCGATAATTGTAGGGACTCTCCGGAAAGGCTGCTACATCAACTCTATGACGGGCTTGCTTTTTTTTTGAAACTGTCTGATCGAAGCATTAATACATTCACAACATCGCGCGTTTTGGTTTTTTTGGCCGCGTGGGAGCTGCGCGATTTTGCAGGCGACGCCGCATCACCTAATGACCGTGGCTACACAAAATTTGTATGCGACAGAATGAATCCACTAGTGTTCAATGTACAGTGCGTTGCAAAATCATAGGACACCCCCCAAAAATATGAATATCTCGGCTTCTAGAAAAAGCCGTCTATCGCAACTGGTAGAATCAGAACCGCCTCTATAAAAAACCTATACAAACAAGTAGCCAGATCATCCGAATAGTTTTCCGTATTTTTAGACAATTTTTTTTAGTTTTGTAGTCGTTGCAAAATCATAGGACACCCCTCGGAAGTCTCCTTACAGTTGAATTTTTTATCCATCCAGCAACGATGGTAGCACTTGTCCGGTGTATGGTAATTCTATTAGAGTTACGGTTTGAGTTGCTCCCTTTCCCTCCGCGAGTGAAAGCCAGACTTTCTTTTTATACGCGCCTGATGGCTCTACCATGAGCATCGAAGCCATTTTTAGGAGCTCAAAGAAAACCATAGCTTGGTGCTCCAAATTCTCACTACGAATAGAAATAAGAGTGCACCAGGATAAATAGCAGAAGTTCTCTAAAAGGATTAGCTATAACCTCGAAGATTACATCAAACAAAATCACCATGTACGGTCAACCTGTGTCAGCTCTACGAAAGAAAGAGGATAGAAATGAAATCCTATAGCAAAATCACTGATATGGACAACTAGCGTAGGGTCCTGCGAAGCGTGCTGCCATGCTCGTTAGGCGTTCTGACTGAAACCAGAGAAGAGAAATCTCGAAAGACTGGGCCGAAGCTGGGCTTTGTTGAGCAATTTTTCATTCAAAATAATAAGTAATTTGTTCCTTTCAGACCGCGCTTCTTCGGTAATGAGCAGTTTAACTTTGATGGTTCAGATGACTGCTGTTCACTTGTAAAGAAATATGGGCCAGGATTCGACTTATTCCTTCAACAAAATTTTCGTGATCGTTTCCTAAAGATGTGGTGATGCGTAACCTCATCCTGAGTTCCAGACCTGAAGTTTCTCTTCTCTGGTTTCAGTCAGAACGCCTAACGAGCATGGCAGCACGCTTCGCAGGACCCTACGCTAGTTGTCCATATCAGTGATTTTGCTATAGGATTTCATTTCTATCCTCTTTCTTTCGTAGAGCTGACACAGGTTGACCGTACATGGTGATTTTGTTTGATGTAATCTTCGAGGTTATAGCTAATCCTTTTAGAGAACTTCTGCTATTTATCCTGGTGCACTCTTATTTCTATTCGTAGTGAGAATTTGGAGCACCAAGCTATGGTTTTCTTTGAGCTCCTAAAAATGGCTTCGATGCTCATGGTAGAGCCATCAGGCGCGTATAAAAAGAAAGTCTGGCTTTCACTCGCGGAGGGAAAGGGAGCAACTCAAACCGTAACTCTAATAGAATTACCATACACCGGACAAGTGCTACCATCGTTGCTGGATGGATAAAAAAATTCAACTGTAAGGAGACTTCCGAGGGGTGTCCTATGATTTTGCAACGACTACAAAACTAAAAAAGCTATACAGATGATCTGAACTTGTTTGTATAGGTTTTTATAGAGGCGGTTCTGATTCTACCAGTTGCGATAGACGGCTTTTTCTAGAAGCCGAGATATTCATATTTTGGGGGGTGTCCTATGATTTTGCAACGCACTGTATTCAGCTTATCGGGAGTTACAATAATGGAAGTTTGACCAAACAATTCGACCAAAATGCTTCGCTTCAGTGGTTCCAAAATTATTTTGCACGTGGTTGTTCCTATGGAGACACATGCTTGTATTGCGACTAATTTGTATTCACTTCTATTACTTTTTTCATCTACATTTCAGGTTAATGAAAAGAAAATGAGGAATGAACTGAACGGATATTTTCGTAAGGTCCAAAAAACCTCTGCCAAACTAAAGAATTTTGACTTCCTGTGAGCCAGGTCTTTGATTATGTTGATGTATGCTTATATTAGAATAAATAAAAAACCTTGGGAAGAATTCGGGCATGTGTGAAAAAATCAAATGTAATGGGTGACATACATAGCTGCCACAATGTCCAACGTGGTGTGAATGGCGACATTACATGGACGCCGCGCTGTCGTCAAGGTGTTAAAGGAATCATGATTCTATTTCAGCCATAAATCACTGGCTTGAGACTCATTATCCACGATAATAGTGAAAAGAACTGAAGTATTGCTTTCGTTTTGATTAGAAATTCGAAAACTCGAAAAGGCTGCTACGCGTTCGAATTGCCCACGGACGTCTTTCACGAATGCTGGCGACGGGGATGCTCAAACTTGGTTCTTGGAGTGCATTCACTAGAAACTCTTTCTGGCCTTCTGCTTCGTTGCATTCACATCTTACACTTCTACTCCATCCTATTCCATCGATCGATTTGTCTCCACTCTCCGAAATCGCGCGCTTTAACCCGATTTGTCTCCACTCTCCGAAATCGCGCGCTTTAACCCGATTCTCTCATTGCGTCGCCTGGTACGTAGCCGGCCAAACGCCGTCTTCTTTCCATGCCTCGCCTGGCTCTGCCTCCTGGTCCTTCGATGGTCCATAACGTGTAGTTTTTGTACGTTTGTTTCTCAGAAACCGAATCTTCATGCGTGAAACTTTGTGTGCTATTTCCAGTGATCACAACTGACATATTCATGTTAGGAAAGAGTGCAAGAATTTTCCGCGCAAGATTCCTTTAAATGCGTTTCTTCATCAGTGCCCGTAGGAGGAGTTTGTGAGCAGTTCTCTACAAGAACAAGCACCACTCGTCCGTGGCTACTGTAGCACGGCATCGGAGTTCCCTCACAAATCAAGCGCAATCTCTGTGCGCAGAAGAACAAGTTACCTTGAAGATGGAACTACTGGGCTATGAAGTTGTGGGTTTCGAGTTGATCGAAAATGAAAAAAAGCAGAGAAAAACGCCGATGAGTCCCTTAAACGTGAAGCCCTGTCTGTCGTACGACACGGCACTTCTGTAACACTCGCGGGCAACTTTATCTTACCCATAGAATAGATCAGCCCATTTCCAAAACATTTTCAGGGGTTGTTGCTTTGAACAAGGTAAATCCATTAAACGAATAACATTTCGCAAGAGCATTTCACCCTGAACAGCTACGTCTTCTAGTCCTGTGATTTGCTATATTCTATCGAAATACCCTCACACACAAACAACCACTACCTGAGCAGGAAATGCTGAATATAGGTATTTCTTTACGTGTTTCGACATATTAGGCTCGAACATGCTTTCCGTATAAGTTTCTTTTCTAAAATGGAGTTATGAAATGAAAGAGCACAGCGATAATTGTAGGGACTCTCCGGAAAGGCTGCTACATCAACTCTATGACGG